TAATTTTAGGGCGTAGAATCGAAATTTTGACATATCAGAGCTTGTGGAAACAAACGGACAGAGTTATACAAAGAGAAAAATCAACAATTTTCAATTTTCTGTAATTTGATCTAGCCGTTTTGTCTTTCAAATTGGTTCTACACGCTCTGTTATGTCAAAATTTCGATTCTACGCCCTCAAATTACCTAGAAAAACAACATTTGGAATAGAAATTGGTTAATATTAGCTTTTTAGAGCTTTTTTAAAACGCGAAAAAAGGTGCGCTAATGGGCAAGGTGCGGAAAAAAAGGCGCGCAAATGTCCGGGTGCGCAAAAAAAAGGTCGCATTTATCCCACTCCCGTAAACTCTGACTCAGCCGCCATTTTCAAAGTTTTATTTAGAAATGACCAGTTGAGTCGATTTACATACGATTTACTCTATTTAAAATATTTAAAAAAAGTTATTTTTAGTAGTTCGAAACGAATTTAAACCTATTTCTTTAAAAAGCATACGCATAAGAATGGTTATTTTCTAAAAATTGCGTGAAGTGCCATACAAAGAAAACGGCTAAGCAGATTTTTCTGAAAATTTGGCTATATGCTTAACTTTTTGTGCTCTATCTTTTTTCTCTTAACACCAAAGTAGTTTCTGTGATTTTTGTGGAAGAAATGGTCCAAATCACATATCGGGTTTTCATAGTTTTTGACTACCCGAGCTCCCGACACTGGAAAAGCCCGGAAACAAAAGTTTTTTCATAATCTCTTAAAGGTCAATTTTGTTGAGAATTGATAGAGCTTTCTAATGCAGCAAACCGTGTGTAAATAGACTACAGTATTTCTTCGAATAGAAGACCGGGTCTGTTGTCAAAAATCTGTTAGCTCATGTCGTATTTTTGAGCCATTTTCCAGCTCTATAGCACTTGATTGAAAGCTTTTATGCAGAAAAGAAATTTTAAAAAGGGCTGCTACGCAGGAGTACGCGATGATACTCTTTACCCGGTCTTCTATTCGAAGAAATACGGTAACTGCTCATTTCTAAATAAAACTTTAAAAATGGCGGCTGAGTCATAGTTTACAACCCAATAGTTTGGGTTGTCCTAAACCCGATCCCGGTGTTGTTTTTTTTGTATTTTAATTCTAAGAGGTGCTATTTATTTAATCAATTTTCTTAGTAAAAGCATGCATGAAATGAAAAATTCTGTTTTTTCTAATCAAAAAAACCAAAACAAACTGAACTTCTTGAAATTGGTTCTAATTGAAAGATGAAATAAAAACTAACGAGGCTTCAAAGCTTCAAAAACTTTTCTTTTAAGTAAAATAACTTCTGTAAGTTTTTGAGTAACTAGTTTTTGAGTAACTAGTTTTTGAGTAACTAGTTTCTTTTCAGAAAGAACTTCCAATTCTTTCTAATATTTAACCACAATCAATTAGCTTTTATTTCATTCATTTTGTTTTAGTGCTCACCGATCCGACAATTCTTTACACAATGAAAACTGTAATTGAATGGGCTGAGCAATTGTTTACAGCAATTGGTCATATGTACGAGAAGGAAAAAGTCATTCATCGAGACATCAAAGCTGACAAGTCAGTCTCTAACTGTACAACTAACTCTGTACAACACTCGTTCCTTTAGCATATTTGTGACGGAAGACTTTCAACTGAAAATTGGCGACTTTGGGCTTATGAAAATTGACGAAGAAGCTTGTAGTGTACAACTTGTAGGCACCGAACGATACATGAGTCCTCTGCAATTCGATGAAACCGAAACACTTGAGGATCTCCATAAAGTTAAACTTCAGGTAAATAAGCTTTAGAACGAGAATTAGTTAAATTGTTCAGGATTCCCATCAAAATGATATCTATAGTCTGGGTCTTGTTTTATGGGAAATTATCGAACGGAAGTTAGTTTTACTTCTTAAATTGTTAGTGTTTATTTTACTTAAGTGTTGCTAAAGTTACTCAAGTTACTTGAGTGTAAAAACACTTGCGAGGGGGGTAGTCAAAACAGCGCCATAATAGAAAACGTTCAAAACAGCGCCGTCAAATTTCTCAAAATCCAAAAAACCAAGCCGGTTCAAGTTTTATATCAAAAAATTCCTTGTGTTCTTGGCTAAATGATGGTTGAACAGTTTTTAAAAAAAGTTAATATTTCATAGATAAAAAAGCACTGAAAATGTGTGCCGAGTGATACTCAGTTGGTTAACTGAATATCTTTAGAGATCCATTTTGAGTGCTCTTTTTATCTATGAAATATTAACTTTTTTTAAAAACTGTTCAACCATCATTTAGCCAAGAACACAAGGAATTTTTTGATATAAAACTTGAACCGGCTTGGTTTTTTGGATTTTGAGAAATTTGACGGCGCTGTTTTGACTACCCCCCACTTGCGATCTTTTTCCGAGAAAATCCTAGGTTGGCGCTTTAAAGCGTGGTAAAACTACCGTGTCCCTCCAATTTGCGCAAAATTTCATTTTTTTCATTCTTGTTCATTTTATTTTATTCTTTTTGCGTTTTTCTGATGTGGTCGCGTTCGTTTTTCCAGGAAACAAAGAGGATAAAGCTAAGTTACGTTTTTAACAGCATTTTCTGTGACGGAAAGCTTTGTTTGTAGAGTTTTTTTAGACCCACTTGCTTCCCGACGATCTGCTCCACGAACTTGATGCCAACTAATGTTAAGTTAAGTGGTTTTTATCATTTTCTATGGCGGAAGCTTTGTTTTTCTAATTTTTTAATTGAAAAAACGTTGAAAAATTTAAAAAAATGCAAAAAGAATAAAATGAAATGAACAAGAATAAAAAAATTGAAATTTCGCGCAAATTGGGGGGTACGGTAGTTTTACCACGCTTTAAAGCGCCAACCCAGGATTTTCTCGAAAAAAAGGTCGCAAGTGTTAAAACGGCTATTTGTTTCAAACATTTTTTGTTTCTAATCAAAAAGTTGCAGAAAACAAAATCTAAGAATTGTTTTGAGCAATTTTAAAGCTATTAGCTAAGTAGAAGCTATTAGCTAATACTTTGACATTTTGGTCATTAAAATAATTAAAATAATTATAGATTTGTATTCACTGAATATGAAGCTAACGGCACTTTTGATCGTCTCAAGTTACTTAAGGATATCTTCCTCAAACAACTAATCAAAATCAATTCGCCTAATTGTCAAGAAACAGTTCAACAGATTGTTGATAAGTGAGTTTTCAATGTTTAGCTCAAATTGAAATACTAGGTGTACAAACTTTGTTAGCTCATCTCGACCTACTGTGCACGATGCTGTAGCCGAAATAAAAACTGTAAAAATGGTGATTAATAATTGTGCTTTAAAATATGAAATGTTAAGCAACTATTGAGAAAATCTTTTTGCAGAAAGACCCTTTCATCTCAAAATTGGAGTTTCTTCCTAGACCCATTGATGGTCAAAAAGAACTCTTACGACCGATTGGCTTCAATGGGAAAAATGAACGAGTTCCCGTCATCCAACAGGAAGCTTCGCTAAACAACTCGAATTTTTTAGCGCCCTCTATCTCGATTCCTTTATTTGATAACTATGGGATCCAAAAAAGCTTACAAAACTTACGAAACGAAACTCGTAATTGCCAGGAAAAGTTTTTTTCGAAAAATGAGTTCACTGACCAGATTGAGAAAGCGATTAGCGAGATATTGGAAGAAAATAGCCTAACGGATGGAGAAAAGAAAAGTTTCATCAAAAAAGTTCGGCAGATTATTAGCGAAATGTCAGAAATCAGGCATACTTTTGAGGAATGGAAGAGAATTTTAGATAAAGATCCTTTGGCAATGTATGACAATCATGGGCCAACTTGGGGTTTACCAGAGCTTCAAGCAAAACGTGTCGAAGATCTTTGTCGTGTTTTTATTTTGAGAAATTTCAAGCGACAAACCGAACTTCTCGAAGAGTTTCTCGGAAATCAATCAAGAAAATCGATTGTTTGCCTCTTTCCATGGGATCATTATCTTTCAATTGCTCAATTTGTTGCCGAAGTTGAGAAAGTTAAAAGCGAAAATTATACAACACGTTTCTTTTTTAATTGTTTTGTTTCAATAAGTACTGGTAAAGAATGGTTAATGCTTGACGCTGGGGAACAAAGCTTTTGCTTTAAGAAAAATCTTTCCGAAATCAAAATGTTTCCTAGCGATTCAATACAAAAAACTGAAAAAAAATTTATTTTTAATAAAGAAAATATGGGAATGAATTTCGAAAATACAATGAAATACGAAGAATTTCATTATTCACACCAAGAACCAATTGATTGGTTTAAAGTTATTGAAACGTTGAAAGAGCAAATGAATGAGGTTAAACGAATAGCTGAGCGAATTATTGACGAATATGTGCCTCTTGAAAATATGAAAGAAATATCGGGAATCGAAGAGGAGATCTCCGGACACAATGAATCGGAGTTACGCTACGTGTTTCAATTGAGAAATCCACCACGACAGCGTTGTGAACATGAACCCCGATGTAGTCGTCAGCTTTTTGATCCATTTCGAGACTATTCTCAAACATTTTATTTAGAAACGTTTGTTCCCGAATCAATTTTGATTCCAATTTATGAATGTAGCTCGATCGAAAGTCGTCAACGTCTTTGTGACTTTTACTTAGCTCTTGTTGGCCTACATGCATTCTCATATAAAAAGACTTTTTTGTCTCCTCGTGACAAGGCAGTTGTACTATTCACCGAAAGCCCAAATCGTCGCTTTCTCTTTCTTAATGGTTATATAACAATGGATGGCGTAGAATCAATTGTAATTCTATTGGACCATCCCGATAACTACTCCAAGCAAGAGTCGCTTTTTGCTGTAACTTTTGAGCAGGAATTTCTAACTCTTGATTCTAAAAATCGTGGCGAATGCTTTGGCAAGATTCCATCAAATGAAAGAACTTACACACTAATCGATTTGAGAATGAATGCTCAAATTCTTGACTCAAATCTCAAGCCGATAACAGATTGGTTTTCGCTATCTTATCATAAAACTTTACCCGACTCACTCAAGTCAGGAAATTTCCGAAAAATGGCTTACACGGAAAACATCGCGATAAGTGATAAGCTCATTTTTGGAGTCGAGAAGCCTGATTTGTTAATAAAGAACTTGGAAATTGAGCGTAAGTTGCGGATTTTCGAGTATTAAATTTTTTCAACAATTAGAGTATTGGATATGAATTTGAATATTCAAAGATTTTTGAGAATTACCTTTGTTTAGCTGTTGATCAGTCGTTCACTCAATCATCAACTACCAGCAACAGTACATATCACTCATGTTTTCATGATAATGTTCTCAATTTACCCCCAGTTTTTCTTGTTTCTTTACTTGAAAAAATGGTAAGTTTAAAGGTACCGACAATATCTGAAAATTGACTGAACGTGAATATCTTTAAAGATCGAAATATATTCATTAACCAGTAATCTAAATAAAATTCGATATCGGGAACCAGCCGTTAGGCGGGCTGCTTCAGAAATCATAAAAATGATTGCCAAAAACGGATTCCCTGTGTTGAAAAACCCCATCATGCAAATTTCGGCGTAAAATGGCGCAGTGGATAGCGCGTGG